ATATAATTGGTGAAAAAGTAGCTATCCTTAATGATAATTAAAGGACTGGAAGTCAAAGGAAATGATTTACGTTGCTTAATTTGAAAACCTAAGTTATAAAGGCAGATACGATCTGTGTCTTAAGCGTTCCAGGCAGCAGACGGCTCATTCTGAATTACAGAGCTCCGCGCCTCCTCCCTCTCTCAGTGCCGCCGCTTCTCTGACGCAGCGCAGTGGACGGGGAGATATTTTCTCAGACTCTGAAAAAAAAAAAAGACCTACTGATCTGCTTCGTACCATAGGAAAATAGTCGAATATGTTTTTTTTTCTTTGTGTTTATGAAATTCAAGTATTTTAAACGTTTGATTAAAAACTAATTTACAGCGCAAATTTCCAAGCTGATCACGAGGAAGTAAACCTGTTTTTGTGCGCATAAAACGTTTTTTTTTTTTCAACTAAACTACTCTTTTAAAGTCGTGCAATTCCTAAGTTAGGCAGGGTCACGTAATTGTTTCTTATTTTTTATGTTTTTATAACTGGTGCCTCCAGTTAAACTGTAGAGATTCTTGTGTGAAGGTCTCGGTGTGTTTTGACCATGTTACGTGTGAGAGTACTGTACTGTATGTGTAGAGTCTTTCATGTGTGAAAGGTGTGCAGTGTTGTATATTTTTGTGAAAGCTGTTTACTGCTTCACATTTTTTTATTTTATGTGTTGTTATGCTTTTATGTTAAAACTCTGCTTGTTGTTTTTTTCTTCAAATGGGAATGTTGTTTTATCCAGTTCACTGTGTTGGTAATTTGAAGAAAAACAACAACAACAACCCAAGGTGTTATAACTAAAAATAACTATAAGAAGATGACATAATAATAAAATATAATAAAAAATGTGAAGCAATTATTATTATGGTTTAAAGTCAAAGTCTTTCTTTCTGTTTCCCTTTTCATTGTAGCTCCATTTGTCTCACTGTTTCCCAACTGTCTCCCTTCCTGACAGTTTTCTTCTCATCTTTCTTCTTCCTTCTGGAACCCAAATTTTGAAGCAGCAGTTACCTTCATCATCCTCATCCATGAACACTCTGAGATGGATAATAACATGATGTTGTATATTACTGCTGAGCTGGGTGCTAAAGTGAAGACTTGGGCAGAAAGATGTGGATGAGCTGTGCAGATGCTCAGCTGTGCTCCTGTCTTTTTGTCTGCAGGATGAGGGAATGTAAACTAACAGAGAGATGTTGTGAAGATCTGGCCTCTGTTCTTCAGTCTCAACACTCCAGTCTGAGAGAGCTGGATCTGGGTTGCAATAATCTGGGGGATTCAGGAGTGAAACTGCTGTCTGCAGCTCTGAGGGATCCCAACTGTAAATTAACAACACTGGGGTAAGTGAACACTGGTGATTTCTTTGTATTTTATTGTTTTATTTAGATATCCTGAGACACACAATATTCCCTGTTCACATGCATTAGAAAATAAATACATACAGATGCAGCCATTCAAAATG